CCCCCACTCTCCAAAATCAAGTCTCTACATTATGTCTCTCTTTTCAACTTGTCTAGCAGGGTCTTCTCCCTACTATGTTTTTCATCTCACTCCCCTGCTTCCTCTTTCTTTCAAATCCTATTTGTTCTTGCCTCTCCTCTTCTCTGCGGCCATGTCTGATGACAACATTGAATCATCCATCCATATCTCATCTTCTCTATTCTCCTTCAACATAGGTATCTCAACTTCCCCCTCCATCTCTCACTTCTTCTTTGTTCTTCTCCTACTCCTACTCTTTGAGATTTTGATAAGCCCTCATAAGCCTGCATTCTCTTCCACCCTCTTTCTCCTCCCGTTACTCTTTTGGATTGATCTAGCTCTTTGCTCCTCTCTTTACCTTCTTCAACATTTTTTAATCATAGATCTGTACTGTGGAATTCTTGTTTCCTTGGTTTTCTTTCTGTTGTTACACGCTTGCCTCATCATCTTTGAATCTTTCTTCTCATCCAAAACCCAACCTCCCACACTTCCATTCAACCCATACGACATCTTTCTTCTCCTCCTCCCCTACTTTCACTGGCTGATCCATAATTTTGATAATCTATCAGCAGCAGTTGGATATTACAACGGTAGCTGCATAAGCAAGAGCGGGTCATCCCAAATCCCCGCTCCCCCTACAGCCGGCCCGAAGACCCGACACCATCCTCGAGAAGGCCTACGAGGACGTCAAGCTCCACTACACCATCAGGAAAGAATTGGGTTGGGGCCAATTTAGGGGTCCTTACCTCTACACCGAGCATTCCACCGGGAAGCAGTACCCCTGCAAGTCAATTCCCAAGAGGCAGTTGATCGTCGAGAAGCACCTTCACGTTCATTACCCATCGGCTACCGTTCAATCGTTTCTGCTCCAAGTTTCACCTCTTTGAGGCTTCACTTACGGAGGCGTGATAATGAGACTTCCTTTGACATATTCTACAACCACTGGTTTACTGTTGCTATATTGTAGCTGATAGTTCCTGAGTTTCTGCTTTCTGTTTCTATCCACTTCCCTTCATTGTAGCTACAATTAGTTGCTCACAATATGTATATATTTGAGACTCAATAATACAATAGATGGGATTCTCAATACATTTACAAAAGGGAGTCCAATCCTCGAAGGAATCACTCATTCCTTGGTGGTGTTTGCAGTTTTGCACTAATACTAGCTTATAACCCGGCCCGTTGGCCGGAATGTTTATATTTGATTTTTTATATTTTTATGTTATGTTAAAGTCTATCAACCTGTTTAATTTTATTGACAATCTTTCGATCGAGATGATACATAAAGAAAGAATATATTGGTCGAACATTCAGAGAAATATCATCATCATTTGAGAATATAAAATATAAAATTGTATCATTGATTTTCATAATGATAATTAAGCCCAGTTAAAATGTTATTAGTTAGTTGATTGTTAAGAAAGATAGAGTATAAAAGCTCATTGAAATTCACACACGACCCATAGATAGTTTGAAACTGAATCTAAAACCTCACAATCCTACATAAATGGTTCAATGCTCTCATTTTGCGGGCAATATGCCACTAATCAAAAAGAAATTGAGACTTATAGGTTTAAGTCAACTATATACTAACAACTCAGCTAAGAGGGGACCATCAAAACTTAAAAGAAATTGAAAGTTATAGGTTTAAGCAAAAAATTAAATTTATATTGAAAAATGCAAGGACACAACGCGTAGTAAAGAAAATAGTTTCGTCCATGTTAGCCAATTACCAATTGACCTTTAGCGAAAATTAAGGAGAGAGCATGAATTTTAAAATGGATAATATTACCTGAAACTCTACTATGAAAATTGAAGTATTAAGCACCATGAAAATACATGCGGTAGACTTAGTGCGCTTGTTAATCATGATGGAAAAGTCCTATGCTTTTCATAGTGTAAATACATGTATGTTTTGTATTAGAAAAGGAACAACAAATATATTTAGTAAAATTGGTTATGCCTGCTATCTTTGTTTGAACAGACCCGGGTTCGAGTCTTGATAGTGATATTTTTATATTAAATAATTAATTAATTGTAAAGACAAAAATGTCCTTTCTACTTTCAGTCTCGTTGCAGGAAATTTGAAATAGAGAAAAGTTCACAAAACTCTACTATATATTATCGGAGGATGCCGCAAGCTCGCACAAGTAACCTCGTGCAATCTGATGGCAAAATATGCATCAAAGAATTAAGTTCGAATGTTCCTCTTAGTCATACCTTTACAGCTTTTGTTTGTTATAAATATCTAATTGTCACATAAATCTACATCAATTCCATTGTCGTCCAGCGGTTAGGATATCTGGCTTTCACCCAGGAGACCCGGGTTCGATTCCCGGCAATGGAATTATTATGCTTTTGTACTCAATTTCTGTTATTTTAAATTCAAACAAATGGGTTTGGAGTACTGCCGAGTAGTAAGAAGAATCGTTCAGTTCTTGTTCGTTCTCAGTTTTGCTCTGTGCTTTCTAATGATCTCCAAGCTTGTAATATTACCAAAAGTAAACATGGCAGGTCAAGGTAAAAGGAAGAGCTGGACAACTTCAAATAAAACTTGCACTGTATTCAAAAGGGACGACTGACTGTCTGTCATTACACCTACAGAAGGAAGACGAAAAAGCAGTCGATCTCCTATTTGCCCCGTGGTTTTCTGGGGAAGTGGACTAGGAAAATGACAGCAAGAAACGTGAGGGAAGTGGACTAGGAAAATGTACGAAGAAGAAACCACAGAATGAGAACTATGAAGGGTGGAAAGCAAAAGAGCCAGCTCTCGGTGAATTCAGGCCACCAACCCTTCCTTCCTCCCTTCATTCTTCTTCTGAGGGACTATCACATGTCAGAACCACCATTCAAAAACAGGAACGCACTCGTCGTGTCCTCTGATCAAAACCTCGGCGAGATGAACAGAGAGCCATTGTTCGTGTCAGCTCTTCACGAAATGCGCTGATAGAAGTTTCGTAACTGTGAAGCCGGCGAAGGAATCAATATCAAATAGTTCTCTCAGCTTCTCGTCGCATATGATTGTCCTCTTATCGGATGGATCCTAAACACAAAGCAGAGTACAAATCACAAACTCTTATCCGGTTTTTGTATCCTTTCAAGTGTTCTGACGAGATTTCAGTGATGAAATATGAATTGACTAAACAGTTTTCCCAGCTTCCACCAAGGTAACAACATACCTGAAGGTTTGTTCTGCTTTAGGTAGTCCCACATTCTCTTGATGACCTCGGATCGAGACATTGCATTTTCACCGGTGCCAAGGAACTTTACTAGGGGATCCGAAAGCTGAAGAGGGGCCATAAATCCTTTGGTTCTGCTTTTCTGCAGCTTCTCTTTCCTTCCTTGGATCATCAGGTTCTAGCACAGGGTCAAACAAAGGCTAATAAGAATTTCACCGTGGCAGGAAAGACCACTAATGACAGATAATTACAATTTAGGGATCCTTCAAATTAGGATTTGCAAAGCAATGAATTACGACACTATTGGATTCCATGAATTTGTAGTTTGGAAGTCAGAATTTAGGAGGGTGTTGTTGTAAATGGTTTGTGAACTGAATTGTCTTTAACAAGGTAAATATATCATGACCAAATAGAAATTAGGAGGGCTTGGTTTAAAAATCCTGACATGTATGAGAGGTTGTTCAACATTTTCTTTTCATCATCTGCTTCACTAGTATCATTCAAATGAAAAGTGATATGCCAATTTGTACCTTCCTCACTCTCTTGCTGCTTTTGCTTTTCCTTCTGTGTAGCTGTCTTGGCTGGAGTTACTATATAATGACGAGAGCAAAAAAGAAAGAAAAAAAAATAAAGAAAGATGCTCTGAGAACAATTTGAATGCGTTGAACCAGAGAATCGGTAAGCAATTAATCAGAATTGAGTTAATAGTGACAAAGAGATGAGTCAAAGCATTACCATCATATGAATTCAATGGCCAAATGTGCTTCGTGAGGGCTTTGTTCATTTCAAACATGTTGATTGAGTCGACACAAAAAATTGTACGCAATGGTTCATCACATAGTATGTTTCTATTATTAATCGGGTCTTGCAACTCTTTCTCTTTGATGTAAATCCATAAATGTTTGACCACCTTTAGTGAAAAGAGTAGGAGAGCTGAGAACTCTTCCATAGTTCAATCACATGAACTTGGTGATGGCAAAATTCATAAGGCATCTGTTTCAAAGTTTTTGCAGTGTGCATACCTCCGTTCCAGCCATTTCAGGAGCTCCAAGAAACTCCTCAAGTTGAGGAGACAGGCGACACAATTTGGTAAAACCACCCCCTCCCCTCTTTTTGCATTCTTCAGGTTGCTTTCTGGACCTGTTTTCAACAAAATAAGATCAAAAGAACAGCAATATACGCTTCCCAAATGCATCTAAAGTTCAGCAACTGCACGAATTAATAATCATGATCTCACAAGTCAATCTTAACAAAATGCAGTTAGCTCCATGCATATACTATTGATACGGAGAAATTAGTTATGTGAGCTTTCCCCATTGTACTAGTACTTAACAGTTTACCATACGGACTAAAAAGAAATCCTCTCCGGATGGCGGACGTTACTTTAGAAGAATCTAAACAGAACACAATTAGATTTGTTCCAGAGATTCACTATAGAATGAAACAGTTTTGCTGAAGGATGACAAAACAGTTCATTCGCCAGTAACAGCCTGCATTACTAAACTCAATAAAGTAAAGTCCAAGCTAACCATGTTGATTTTTCCTTCTCTTAAGGGTAAATTTGTTCAAAAAGGGTTGTCTATCTTGCCGTTAGATATCCAAAAATGCAAATTTGTGGCTGACCATTACAACATTGCTCATGGTCCGACTGTTACTTGCCCGTTTTCGTGCAAGAAGAGCAGAGACAAAGAAGCAAGCCGTATGCCTGATAGACCGTTAATTACACATGTTTTCACCCCTGTTCTTACACCGTTGGAGATGTGGTTTCTCGTGTTTTAGACCGATTTCACGCTAGGTTGTGCTTGTTTGTGATATTTCAGGTCCTGGCAAGTGAATGAAGGTTTAGGAGCGAGTTCGGGGTCCATTGGGCGAAGATCGGGCGCGAGACAAGTCACAAAGGAGGTCACACGGGCTGCCCTGATATTCACACGGCCGTGTGAAGTAATGGCCTGGCCGTGCGAGTTTTGCCGAGAGCACACACGGGCAGAGCAGAGGATCGACACGGCCGTGTGAAGGAGTGGCTTGGCCGTGCGAGTTTTGCCGAGAGCAAACACGGGCAGATGGAAGTGACACACGGCCGTGCCACTCTGGCCGTGTGAGAAGCCTGGAATTCGACTAAGTGATACGGTGCGTTTTGCCTCACACGGGCAACTGGGTAGGCCACACGGTCGTGTGGCCCTGCCCGTGTGAGTCGGGATTTCCTGGTTTTAAGCCAAATTCCGAACCAAAGAGGAGGAGAGCTGGGTTTTTGGATCCCAAACACCCAAGGGACGAACCAAAGAGAGAGGGCGATTTGAGGGCATTCTTGGAGTAGAGAAGGAGGATTTCTTCGCCTTGGAAGCTTGAGGAACAAGCCCGGACTTGAAGACTGATCATCTGAAGATTCTTACTGCAGTCTCTCTCTTCTCTATGGAGTAACTTCCCTTCACTTAGGTTTTGAGGAACCCTAGCTATGTTTGTTTGATTGGATGATTGTATGAGTACTCTGACTGGATAATCTTGAGTTCATATTCAATCTATGCATGTTTTCATGATTCAATTCTGCTTTAGTCGAGATTATTGATTCTGCTTTGATCCTATGAGAGGGAATACCTGATTAGGTCAATAGAGCACCATAGATTGATAGTAGTGGATCGATTGCTTTAGTCGAGAGTTGATTCACTGCTTTGTATCGATTGAGAATCTCTTTCGATAGAGGGAGTCTAGTTCAGAACGCCTTGATCAGTTGTTCTAGAGAAGGATACGTCCCTCTAGGCAATTGACTCAAGAGGGCCTTGTTCCTTTAGTCGAGACTCAAGGTCTAGTCAAGGATTCTCCGCATTGTGAATGAAAGTGAAACAGGTTAGAGATCATCAATCGTTAATCTGGCTAGTGGCTAGGGGGAATCATACCTAAGTGAATTCCCAACCTGTAATTAGATTAACTTTAACTGTAGTTTGCTAGAGTAGTTTTAGTTCTTTCATCTTAATCTGATTTGCTAAATAATAAACTGAAGCTGAGTAATAGTAACTCTAGAGACCCGTGGATTCGATAGTTATCACTTGAGCCACTATACTGCAGTCCCTTTCATTGGTTACACTTGGCCTTTGTTAGGTGTTGTGTTTTAGAGCATCAATGCCCAAGTAACATAGTAGGATGAATGAGTAATAGAGAAAAGTGGGAAACGAATTAGCAGAAGGTTTCTCCATAAGCATTCTCCGTTTAAGTTTTGCAGCAGAAACCGACCGAATTTAACAGGACCTGGTCCAAATGCAAACAGATATACTCAATGTTTCTCAACAGAAGACTGCACTGCATTCCTACTATTTGCAAAATAAAGGAAAAGCAAACCTATCATAAGCCACATAAACTGAAACCCAGCAGCAGTTACCAATAATGAAAGCAAAGAACAACACAAAATGTGGCCACGTGAAGCAAATCACCCAATGTAGGCAATGGACATAATCAATCCTCCAAACAAAACCTTAATTTGCACGCCAGCAAAAAATGTGTTCCCCTTTCAACTATTCAAAGCCACAATTATCTAGACCTTCATGTAAACACTCTAATTTGAGATCAGCCCCCAACCCTAGAGGTTCATATCTACTCATTGGCATATGCTGATCACCATTGAGACTTGAGAGTACGTAGTAATTCAAAATGTGACCTAAAAATCAATAAACCCAATTAACAACAACGTCATGGAAGCAAGTTTTTCCAGCAACCTAATAATGCAAGCAAGGAAGAGAAATGGAATCAGCAAATTCATCGAAAAATAAATTAATCTTGAACAAACCTGCCTTTGGCTCGAGTCTTCCGTTTACTCGATCTTCCTACTGTTTCTTCCTCCTCCTCCTCGTCTTCTTCAACTTCATTTCCGCCTTTTACCCACGATTCCCGATCATTGGCGGCGCTTCCTTCTTCTTCTTCTTCGTATTCATTGTCGCCTGCAACCTCGGCCGCCTGTTCCTCGAACTGGGATTGGAGGAACAAGTCGACCTGTTCTCTGATGAAACCCTTTTTATCAGTCAAATTCACCGGGAAGTCTTCCTCCAGTTTCCGGTGAACGATGGTGTTTGTGGTGGGCCATATATCCTTTGGTTCCGCTTTTCTGCCGCTTCTCTTTCCATCCTGTATCATCTGGTTCTAACACAGGGTCAAGCAAAGGCTAATAAGAATTTCATCGTGCCAGGATAGACTACTAATGACAGATAATTACAATTTAGAGATCCATCAAATGTTGGATTTGCAAAGCAATGAATTACGACACTGTTTGATTCCACGATTTTGTCGTTTGGATGTCAGAATTTAGGAGGGTGTTGTTGTAAATGGTTAGTGAACTGAATTGTCTTTAACAAGGTAAATATATCAGGACCAAATAGACATAAGGAGGTCTTGGTTTAAAAAACCCGACACATTTGAGTAGGTTGTTCAAATTGGCATGGGTGACAGATTTGATAATCTCATCGTTTCAACATTTTATTTTCATCATCTGCCTCACTAGTATCATTCAAACGAAAAGTGACCTGCCAATATGTACCTTCTTCATTCTCTTGCTGATTTATCTTTTCCTTCTGTATAGCTGTGTTGACTGGAATTACTGTTTAATGACGAGAGCAAAAAAGAAAGAAAAAACAAAGACAGATTTATTAAGAACAATTTGAATGCGTTGAACCAGAGAATCGGTAAGCAATTAATCAGAATTGAGTTAATAGTGACAAAGAGATGAGATAAAGCATTACCATCATATGAATCCAATGGCCAAATGTGCTTCGTGAGGGCTTTGTTCATTTCAAACATGTTGATTGAGTCGACACAAAAAATTGTACGCAATGGTTCATCACATAGTATGTTTCTCTTATTACTCGGGTCTTGCAACTCTTTCTCTTTGATGTAAACCCATAATTGTTTGACCACCTTTGGCGAAAAGAGTAAGAGAGCTTAGAACTCTTCCATAATTCAATCACATGAACTTGGTGATGGCAAAATTCAAAAGGCATCTGTTTCAAAGTTTTTTGCAGCGTGCATACCTCTGTTCTAGCCATTTCAGGAGCTCCAAGAAACTCCTCAAGTTGAGGAGACAGTCGACACAATTTGGTAAAACCACCCCCAGCCCTCTTTTTGCCTTCTTCAGGTTGCTTTCTGGACCTGTTTTCATCAAAATAAGATCAGCAGAAGAGCGATATACACTTCCCAAATGCATCTGCTTGAATTAATAATCATGACCTCAGAAGTCAATCTTAACAAAATGCAGCTAGCTCCATGCATATACTATTGATACAGAGAAATTCGTTCTGTGAGATTTTCCCCATTGTACAGGTACTTAACTGTTGACCAGATGGACTAAAAGTAGAAACAAAGAAGCAAGCCAGATGCCAGTAATAGAGAAAAGCGGGAAACGAATTAGCAGAAGGTTTCTCCATAAGCGTTCTCGTTTAAGTCTGGCAGCAGAAACCGGCCAAATTTAACAGGACCTGTTCCAAATGCAAATAGATATACTCAATGTTTCTCAACAGAAGACTGTAATGCAATCCTAATAAGCCACATTAACTGAAACCCAGCTGCAGTTTACCAATAATGAAAGCAAAGAACAACACAAAATGTGGCCACGTGAATAAAACCACCCAATGTAGGCAATGGACATAATCAATCCTCCAAGCAAAACCTTTAATTTGCACGCCAGCAAAAAAAGTGTTCCCCTTTCAACTATTCAAAGCCACAATTATCTACAACTTCATGTAAGCACACAAATTTGAGATCAGCCCACAACCCCGCCATATCTACTCATTGGCCAATGCTGATCACCATTGAGAGTACGTAGTAATTCAAAATATGACCTAAAAATCAATAAACCGAATTAACAACACCGCCATGGAACGATGGAAAAAAGTTTTTCCAGCAACCTAAAAATACAAGCAAGGAAGAGAAATGGAATCAGTAAATTCATCGAAAAAAGAAATTAATCTTGAACAAACCTGCCTTTGGCTCGAGTCTTCCGTTTACTCGATCTTCCTACTGTTTCTCCTTCCTCCTCCTCGTCTTCTTCCACTTCATCGCCGTCTTTTACCCCCGATTCCCGATCATCGGCGGCGCTTCCTTCTTCTTCGTATCCATTGTCGCCTACAACCTCGGCTGCCTGTTCCTCGAACTGGGATTGGAGGAACAAGTCGACCTGTTCTCTGATGAAACCCTTCTTATCAGACAAATTCAACCCGAAGTCTTCCTCCAGTTTCCGGCGGACGATGGTGTTGGTAGTCGTCTCGAGGTTCGAATTCTTGAGGAACTCCCGCAGCCTGCCGATGAGCTCCGAGTCGGACACCATTGTTGCTGGCTTGCTGGGCGATTGGGAAGCCGAGACAGAGAGAGGAGAAGAGAGGGAAATGCGAAGCAGGGGTGGAGTTTGTTATTTCACTATGTATCGAGTTCCAATCCCTTGGTTGATTAGATTAAGAGAACGCGCAGCAAGAAGGAAAATCAATTCCAATTGAAACACTCAAGAAAAAGGGAGACCTAATACAGATTCAATTGAAGAGACAGAACACAGAATTGAGACGCAACAATTCTGTAATGAAGATCCAAGATAACAAGGCGAGAATGAAAGCTATGCCCGGATAAGCTTGAGTCCCTGGCACTCGGCCCCAACTCAAGCTTTCCAGACACTTACACAGACCCAGACCTAGACTCCCAAAGAGAACCACACTCTTATTGAGAAAAGGAAAATCGTCACCTTCTTTGTTCCGAGCAGTTCTTGATATAGACCTCGGAGGAGCTAGTCTTCTGTCTCTCATCATCAATGCAGGTTTCCGTTGGGTGGAATTGATGGTAGCAGAGATCGATGATGGAATCTTTCGTTCGAAGCCTTTGTTGAAGCTGATGACAGAGATAGTGACGATGAAGCGCTACTGGGCTCTCGTCTGGGCTCTCGTCGTAGTATGAGGATAAGCGACCGGGCTTATTTAGAACTACAAAATGAATGTCTACCAATATTAGTACTTAGAAAAAATTATTTATTGTATGTGTATCTCAAAGGAAAATAAAAATTGCAAATATTCATCATGTATCTCAAAGTGTTTTTAATATTGAAGGACTTAATTGTCTATTTTGAAATAAAGTGCTTCAATAAAATAAATTTAATTACTTAATTGATGTAAACGTAAATCAATAACTAAAATGAAATAGGGTCATAATAGAAGCCTTCTTTCGCTGCACTAAATAAAATGAATCGCTATTTGCCGCCCGTAGTTACAAACAATAGGACAATGTTGCCCCTTCCCTCCCAAACCCTTCTGCCTCCTCCCTCCCAACCATCGTCGCCGTCCGCCACATCCACCGCCGACCATCTTCACCTATGTTCACCCCATCATCATCGCCGTCACACCTCCCAAATCATCTCCGGCGCCGTCAAACTTTCGAACCTCCCAATTGAGTCTAAAATAAATATAAACATAAATATATTTACTAAACTAACGAAAAGACAAAAATCATCTCCGGCGCCATCAAACTCGCCTGCGTCGGACGCCGTCAGCTCGCCTGAGTCGGACGTCGTCCGCTCGCCGGAGTCGGACGCCGTCAGCTCGCCTGAGTCGAACGTCGTTCGCTCGCCGGAGTCGGACACTGTCCACTCGCTGGCGTCGGACGCCGCCCGCCTGCGACAATCGGACGGGGTCCAACCATTTTCGGCGGACGGGGTCCGATCTCCGGCGTCGGACGGCCGCCAGTTACTTTTTTTCCGTTGAATTCCGATGACTTTTTGTGGAAATTAAAGTGATTTTTTTGTTCGCATTGTGATTAAGTAGGTAAACTGATTTTCATATTTATAAAACTGATAATTAGGCAAATTAAAGGGAGTTTTTTAAGGTAAGATTTATTTTTCCGTTGATATAGTTTTTGTAGATTTTTTTTGTGAGCGATGGAATATTAAATAGAGGAGTATATAAGTTTACATTAATTAAATATTTTATTTTGAGTCAGAATTTTTCATAAAGAAAACTTCCTAATTAACAACCTATAATTTGTTAATTAATTGCAATAACCCACTGCTAACAATAACTTCCTAATTATTCGAAAGGAAACTTCCTAATTAACTTGATAATTATTTTCATAAATAACTACAATAACCCGCGTCTAGCAATAGTTCCCTAATTATACTCATTTAACATCCCACCCACATTTTCGAAAGAGGAAATTTAGTTGAGGGAATTAGGGTTTGACTTAATTAGGGTTTGACTTAATTAGGGTTTGACCCGAATTAGGGTTTGACTAAATAATATATCATTTTGACCACAGTTGGTTGAGGGAATTAGGGTTTGACCCGAATTAGGGTTTGACTTAATTAGAGTTTGACCGCAGTTGAAATAATCTCACCCAAGATGACGGATAACAACAATAAGAATTAACTCGACTCAACTGGTCACTTGAATCACTAAAATGAATCGCTATTTGCCGCCCTAATATTTACTATTTGCCGCACATAGTTCTAAAATACAAGACGATTTTGCCCTTCTTTCAACTAACCCTAAACCTATCTAACCCATCCCCTCACAACCTCCTCCTTCCTCCCACAACAGCCGACCATCCCTTCCACCCTGCTCACACCGCCGCCGACCAAACTTCCTCCCTCCTTCCACAACATCCTACCCCCCCCCCCCCCCCCCCCCCCCCCCCCCCCCCCCTACAATTTCATTCCTCCGACCCCTTCACCGTTGTTCCCACCGCCGCCGACCCCTCCATTCCTGCGACCTGGTGCCGCCGAACCCTCTATTCGTCCGACCTCACAAAGTCGGCGGCGTTGAAGAGGAAGGAGCTCGCCGCGGGTTCTGCCATCGCCGACGTAGAGGAAGAAGCTTGCCGAGAAGTTGAACCTTTTTTTTCGTCCGCTAACCGGCGTAGGACGGGGTCCGATCACCAGAGGCGGACGTGGTCCGCTTGCCGTGGACAGATGGGGTCCGATTGCCAGACGCGGATGGGATCCTCAACTGTTGCTGCTTTTTTCCAAAATTCGTTTTTAAATTATTAATTATTTATTGAGTAACCAAATAAGTGTAAAATACCATAATTAGGATTTAAAATTATAAATTAATTCCAATTTTATTTCCGTTATTTCACCCAAGATTTATGACGATTTATGACGAGAATGTTGATTCCCTCAATTAACCTAATGACAGATGTTAATTGTATATAAATATTGTATTAAATAATTATCAAGCACCAAAATTTCCCTAATTAACCAATTCCTAATTGTATTTCTCGAACAATCTTAATTACCATAATGACTAATTATGGTAGCTTTTTCTAATTTTAGGGCGGAAACAATGAAATTAATAAAGCTAAAAAATAAATCTTAAATAACAACGGGACATGTTCTTGAAGTTCTTAATTGATATGAAGAAGGTTTGATTGCTAGTTACTATCACAAACTCACCACAAAATAACTACGAGACTTTTGAGTGAGAAGTTTTGGAAAGGAAATTTCTGTAATTAACAACCTCTAATTGTATTTTCAATTTAACAAACCAACGTAATTTCCTCCCAAAACATCTAATGATTATCTTCCTAATTAACAACCGGTAATAAATTCATCCCCAATAACCTACATCTAATTTTATTTTCCTAATTACACTCTCAAATTACTCAAATTATTAATAATCCACGTAGTTATTAATATATATGATCACGGTTGAACAAATAGTTTATCGTGGGTTTATTTTAAATAATTATAAACTATCTAAAATTTAGGGGAGCGGATAGTATAACAACCCTATAGTGTTGTTATAATAACATCATAATTCATTAAGGGTAAAAGAGTAAAGTTACACAAAAATACATATAAATATAAAATTATGCCGCCTCCCTCTTCCTCGCTTCTACCACTTTCACGTGGTTTGTGGTTTGACAATAGCCTCCACGCTATCTGACGACTACGCTCCTCCTCCATTCCCTTCCTCTTCCTTCTTGGCCGTCACTCGCGATGGCGCACTGACCTGAAGTCAGCAGCGGACCTCGGCAGAGAAAGTTTTGAGATTGGAGTGAGTGACGCGGAGGAGAGCCGAGTCGTCTCCCTCAATCTGAAATCGAGCCGCCATAGACGGCTTCTCGAGTAAAAGGACGGAAGCCGAAGGACCAGTACAATAGGCCGGAGAGGCAGCGATTGAGACTCCGACGGCGAGGGACTGAGAAACAGGGGAGAGAGATCAGATGGTGGAGGAGTTCTCGAGCGAATCCCCTAATTGACTAGAGCCCAGGATTTTTCTGGATCTATTTGGATCTATTCATTCTACAGTTTGCTTTGCTTATTCTCTCTGGATCCGGAACTCCGCATTTGGCAAAAGCAAAAGAAACCAAAGGCGCAAAGGCAACTCCAACGGTCGCGCCTTTCCTATCCGTCTCTCCATCTCTTCCTAGCACTCCAAATCCAGATAGAAGTCTTGCAACTGTAGAAGAAGAAAAAGAAGGAGAAGAAGAAGGCGATAAGAGTCGTGCTGCTTACCTTCTTTTTCTTCTCGCCCATGCTCTCTGCGTGAAAAAACATAGCAAGGAAAAAGGCAGAGGCAGAGAGATTTCAATTTCGTTTGGTGGGTGTTTCGCTATTGCTGGAACGGTGGAA